ACGACCCTTCCTGGGGAGTTTGGCTCGTGTGCAAAAAGGAAGGGACAATAACGGGATTTAAAAGTTAAAATGATGATCAGGTTTATTTACAACTACAAAACAACATAAACCTTTCCATCCACAGGTTGGGAATAATAAAACTAATTCTGCCTGTGGGGAATTAAAACAAAAGTACAAATAAGTAGGGATGTCCCACTGGGCAAAGATTACAGGGTTCTGGACCAAAATAATCTCCAAAGGTCCAACTCTAAACTGGGTGGTTAAACCAAACTGAAGGTGATATCTTAAACGAAACCAAAAACCCACAACACTCTAAATGTAATAAAAGGGAGATCTACGCCACAAAAAAAAGATGAACTCTAAACCAAAATGTAACAGCTTATCCAAACGCAAGAAGCTGTTAGCAAAAATGCTAACAGTAGCTTTACCAACATTAAGTTCAAGTTACCAAGTTTAAATAAACCAAAAACACCCAGCAGCAAACAGACCAGCACGGAGGAGAGACTGCTACCACCAAAACAGCTCTCCTAATGTCTGAAAGAAGCTCCTTTATGAAGGGAGAAACGCTCCCGGTGATGTTCTACATCTGCGATAGAGACGGAGCAGCGCATCTGACCCCGGAAGTTGTTGTCCGTTGCCGGGAGACGAAGGCGGGCAAAACAGGAAAGGAATCTAGTAGCGGACAGACATTATTCCGGGTCTTCGGTATTTGGCGGAGATGTTAGTGAAGGTGGAGCAGAGGGCGAACTAGAGGAAAAACATGCAGATTCCTCTTCTATTTACAAACTCCTGTGGATGCAACAAGTGGGCGCGGTGCGTCAACTACCGGATCTGACGTCGACAAATTTTTTTAATCGAGCCGTCGACGTCATCGAGGCGTCGCTACAGCCCTATCAACTGCAACTTCATAAATGGGGATGACAGTCGCTGTTTGTGCTGATTTGGTGCTTGAAATTATATTACAACAAGTGATTAACTGACTGACATGGCATGTTCAAAAATGCACTTCATGTCTTTATCATTTAACAATTTTTTTTAACAGACATGTAATGCTAGCCTAGAAATCTAGACAGATAGCAAAGGCAAAAAAGTTGCGCTGGACGTCTTTTAGAGCCCTGCACGGGCCTAAAATCTGAGCCCATGTCCGGCCCGGCCCGAAGGGGTGGAGCCCCAGCCCGACCCGGTCCGAAAAGGTTTTCAGGATTCTCTGGCCCGAGCCGAGCCCGAGCCCGACTTTTTTTTAACCAACTAAACGAAAACAAAGTGCGTCAATCCTGACCAATGTGTTAAAGGACGTGCAGGATCCGATCAATTTGTTTTTCCCTCGTTTACCGTCACGGAGATGACAGTGCAGGCTCTGGTGGTAATCAAGTTAAATTTTAACTCTTTCCAACAATTTTCACAAGAAAACAGAACAGTTAAAAGCAGGGCTTGTGTTGACCGGATAGTTCCCGTATTTGACCGTTTATTTTGACGGAGAAAGAATAGAAAGAATTACCCCGACGTATGCAGACGAACTGACATTTTATTCTACACACATCGCAGATGTTGCTAAATCACCCAAGATTCCCATCTGAACATCTGAGCTGGACACTGCTCAACGCAGCTCGCTGTCAGCGCATATGTGCACAGCGAGCTGAAGTTGTGGAGATTGGCTTGGAGCGCGTCGCAGAACCAGAGCGCATGCGGGAAGATTCCTCCCACTGAAGCGAGTGTTTTCCAAACCCGGTCTCTCAGAGAGACTTGTCACTTAGAAAATGTTCCCTGATTATGAAACTTTGGCTGAATAGTGCTTGTTCCTGTCTCCAATGTGGCGACACATCCTGGAGCCGTCTGAGGAGAAGCCCAGAATCTCACATCCTCGTCAGCTCAGAAAGCGCATATGATTACGCACAAGCGTGACCCGTCAACCCGGTCTCACAGTAAGACTGGGTTGGGCCTGTTCAGGTTTACGCAGACAATCTTTACAAAGAATTGACTTACAGATATAAAATTAATTCAGTAAAATATAAAGCATTTTATTTAAATATCCATTTATTATTTTACAAGCACAGAGAGCCGCATCAGATTCAGATCAGCGGGAAGATTCCTCCGACTGAATTCAGTCGGAGGAATCTTCCCGCATGCGCTCTGGTTCTGCAACGCGCTCCAAGCCCCTCTCCACATCTTCAGCTCGCTGTGGACCTTATGTAGTACACGCTAACAGCGAGCTGCACTGAGCAGTGTCCAGCACAGATGTTCAGATGGGAATCTTTTCTTGAGCGATTTAGCTACATCTGTGATGTGTGTAGAATAAAATGTCAGTTCGTCTGCATGCGTCGGGGTAATTCTTTCTATTCTTTCTCTGTCAAAATAAACGGTCAAATACGGGAACTATCCGGTCAACACAAGCCCTGCTTTTAACTGTTCTGTTTACTTGTGAAAACAGATATAATTTAACTTGATTAACACCAGAGCCAGGCGCACTGCGCCGTTATCTCCGTCACTGTAAATGAGGGAAAAACAAAATGATCGGATCCTTTTCTGACCTTCCCCACCTACAAAGTTTAATTACAACAATCAAACGTGACAGAGCCTGGATTTGTATTCTAAACAGTCTAAACATGTTTTAAAAAGAAACGTATGACAAAAGTGGCACCTGCTCAGTAAAACCACCAACAGGGTGAAAAAAATCTAAATATTGTCGTCAGAGACGGGCTACAACTTCTGGATCCACTTTATATAAATCGTTTTATTGATTATCGTCTTATGAAAGATAGCTTTGACGTACACGAGCGACCGGTACCGGCTGCTGTCACCTGTTGTGAGCAGCTCTCTGCTGTCTGAGGGTAGGCCCCGCCCACAACGCCGCAGCTGCTGTGGCTCCCAGCGCATATGTGCACATTTACTGTATGAAATGGGTAATAATGGCTCTTTGATGGGAACAAGTTGCCGACCCCTGGTTTAATTGTTTAAAATTTTTAAAATGAATTTGATTAAAAATAAAGGCGCCTGACCCGGCCCGTGTCCGAGGTAATTACACAGTCGTTGGCCCGAGGGCCATCGGGCCGGGCCGACCCGAGGGCCTAGGGCTTCAGTGCAGGGCTCTAGTCTGTCTAACCCAAGCCCCCATAATTCGGGTCTCAAAATGAAGCCAACACGGAAGTGAAAAAAATTGCAGTTCCACCCTCATCCGCTGGGGGCTGGTGTCAGAAGCGAGCAAATCCTCATTGACTCCCATGACTCCAATTTCACAGCAGAAATAAACATGTTTACAGCCTGGTACCAAAACATGTTTTAGGTTTAATAGATCTAGTTTAAACTCATGACATCTCTGAGGGGGGTGCATTTTTGTCACTATTCTGTTTAAGTGTATTAAAAGCCTAAAATTCTGTATAATTAATGAGCATCAGACCCACGTGACCGCAGAGCTAGCTCCAGGGAAAGGCCTCAGCCTGAGCCTCGGTCTCGCCTTAAAGCTGTTCCGCCATTCTCAGTCCCTCACCTTAGACCATTAGTTGTGCCATTTGTGCGTTCTTTTTTGGATATTATTTGTGCCGTTTGTTGGACAAAATGACTTGCTGTGATATTAATTGCACTAATAGTGCGTCCATTTTTCAGTAAGTAAAATTATATTTATGTATTTTAGGTCATTGCCGCTCTTGCACTAGCTGAGCTTAGATTTTTGCATGTACTGTTTAACCATGAAATTTAAATGTAATAGGGTAAAACCCAGTGCATTTAACATAACGCTGCATTTTTGAAAATGGGTTGAATTATGACATGTTGGTCGAGCTGTATTCCGACTATCGGTATGGTCTCCCTCCCTTCAGCTGCAGCTCAATGCATCTCTGATCGCAGCACCTGTCTGCTGCGCCGCTGCCGGCTTGTGGAGCTCTCAGAAGACCTCTGTTTTCCACCCGGTTTTACCCAGCGGTCAGCCCGGCATATCTCTGACTGAGAAGCTCCGGTGTTGTGCACAGTTAACTCCGGTTGTAGTTAGGTAGCTACCTCCGTTAGCTTAGCTCCCACCTCCGCGTTAGCTTTGGGTTAGCTTGTAGCTACATTGCTTCAGTTCGACGGGTGTCGTCATTTGATCCCAGCCTTACAGCCCCACCCTCAGCTCCACCTCTTTTCCCTTTTTTTGGACTTATCTGGGTTTGACGGAACCTGTGACACGATCAAAATGGCGGTGGTGGCCACCTCCCATTTTGGCACCAAACCTTATAATTGGAGCCTATGGACATGAATTGTCCAGTATATATGTCGACGGTGTAACCTTGCTCTCTTGGAGCCTCAACACGTCTACCTTTGGCCGGATCAGTTTTGTGTCTTGCCAATCGCAGCTTTCTATCACTCTGTCGACAAAGATTGCAGCAACTCATTTGAAACGGCTTTGGCATCAACTTTGAACTATTTATACTTGGGCTTTTCTTTGAGTCAAGAGCAGATAGAGGTACTTAAATACTTCATTTAGAAAAAAAGATGTATTTGCGTCTTATATGACAGTGTATTGGTGGACTTCCCCGTTGACTGACATCCATAGCAGTAAGTAAGTCACATTGTTTGTTCTCCAATAGCATGCGGACACAGTTTGAAAGACAACTGTAAATTCTGCCCCAAAACTGAGCTCTGTCTATGGGTCATGGCAAGACTATATTTTCTCATATACTGGATGATTTGCCAGGCTAGCCTAGCACAGTAAGGTTCTTATTCTAAACGTTTTCATTACTCTGATGTCTTGCTAACAGATGTAGCCTAGGAAACAGCACCTCTGTAGCTGACACATTTAGATTCAGACTGGTGCAGTGTTTGCTTGTTCCCATGGCAACACCTGGAGTGTCAAATGGAAAACAAATAACGCCATACCCATATGACTTATAGAAAAACCGCAATATGAAATTTTTTCTATACCACCCAGCCGTAATAATAATATATTCATTTTCTGGTTTACAAAAAAATTTTTTATGCATCTGAGCGATTTCATGTTTGTAAATGCCAGCTGGACCTGACTCACTCACTCTGCTACTGGGATGTTGTCTTCTAATGGGCTCTCAGGCCACTCTGGAGGAGGAAGGTTCACACAGTCAGGCAGCACAGGAGGAATGTCCTCACTCCTGGGGGAAGAAGTTCCTTCATGGAGTTTTGCCTCTTCTTGTCTGTGACAACCCGCTTCCTGCTGGTGGATGGCCTCGACGTTCAGCTGCTCCTCCAGGTCTACATGGAGGCAGGATTGAAAGCATGAACATGGATGATGTAGGCTAAGACGGGCAGTAAATGTATATCATACCGTTGTAAACCTCCAGCATGGCAGAGCAGGAGACTGTGCCGAAAGAGTTGATGACGACACATTTGAACAGGCCTGAATCCTCAGGGAAAGCCTCGGTGATCACCAGCGTACACAGCTCCTCTGTCCAGATGAACACAGCTGCATCAAGGTGACAGAAATCCTTCCTCCGAATGGCTTAGAGAAAACATTTCCTCCTTCTACCGCTGTACTTGACTCAGTCAGTGTTTATTACTCACCAGGCACCGAGGCAGAGCTGGCCTCTGTAAAACAAACATATACATTTGTCTAAGTGAATTTAAGATCACGTTCCATACCCTAGCAAGGATGAAGAGCTGTTTCACCGTTCCACAGCTAGGATGAAAACCACATTGCTCTCTCCAGTACCTTTCCTGGGAGGCTGAGGAGTGAGATTTATCTGGTTCCCTTTGTTAATAAAGGGACCACCACCCCTGAGGTTCTTGATTTTAAGGTTCTTTTAGTGGTTTTTAGAGACCGACAATCCCACAACATCCATGGTGTCAACCCAGTGATTACACACATCCTTAGGAATGCAGATGGGACTGAGCATATGGATGGTCTCCAAAAATGGCGTGTAAAATTAGTGCAAAGACATCAGTGACGTCATGAATGCATCTCCGAGCATGTGGGTGGGGCAAAAGATGTGCAGAAAAGTCTGTGGTGTCTACCTTAAATTAAACAAAGGGTTAGGGCAATGTTGCTTTTGGACACCCTGACTCTGATATTCCATACTGCTCGGCTGTGTCTTTCCTGGCGCAGCTCAAGCCTGGCAGCGGTGAAAAAAATGACGGCTTCAGTCAGAGGCGTTTCCTCACCAGTAACCAAAATGATAATGAATCGAGCATGCGGGAAGCCCCTGCTGGCTTATTCTATTCGTCTGCCAATCTGAAACTCCCCCTAATGGCAGGCGTGAATTTGAGTTTTCCAGACAGTTGGCAGTGGGTGTATTGGTCCATTTCAGCCCGAAGCAGCTCGCCTTGGGAAGAGGGCTGAACAAACGACCGGAAAAAATCCAGGCTTTGCAGATGTGAACACTCCCTACCGTATCTAGGCGGAGTAGTACTGGTGCTAGTGTGGAAGCCCTATATTTGTAATAGACACCATGAGAGAGAAGAAAAGCATTATGGAAGAGATTAAATGTAGTAAAAAGGAAATCACACAAAATAAGTTTGAAACTTCAAATGAACTTTAAGCTGTTGGTTCTTTTTTTAAACATCACAATTTTAACCGTCCTCCTTAAGGTTGACAGTGAACCAGGCCAGGCCTGGCCAGTGGCAGCTTCATGCGTTTGTTATTCCTTTGCGATGTGGACTCAGAGGGGTGCTGCTCTGACTACAGCTGGAGGAAGGAATGAGTCATCCGTGAGTGGTCGTTGAGAAGTCTCCCAAAACACCAGAACATTTGTTGCTGTTAGCTTTTTTGAAAAAGAATAGCTAGAGTGAACTAAAAACTCCCTAAAAATAGCAACACTATCCACATTCAGGGGCACCATCCTTGTAAAGACCTGGTCCACTTAGACCAGGTCCTTTGTCCACCGCTAAGACCAGAAGTGAGCGGCCTAGCCTTCATTTTTATTCCCACCTTTTCCTCAGCGAATGTCCTATCATCTATTAACCACAGCGGCTCGAAACGAAAGTTCAAACCAAACTTAGATGCAACACATGAAGTAAAACAGGAACCATAAGAACTTGTTTTTACTTGTTATTTTTGACCACAAACAAAGCAAACGTACAAAGAGGGTTGAAGATTTCTGGTGACAGACATAGAGCAGATCAGAGATTGTCTTGCAGAAGAAGTCTGGAGATTTAAACACTTATATACACACGTGGCTGAATGATTACAAAGATACGCCACAAGCAATTTATTCGTGGATGGAAATGACGGGAGACATGGGTTTAGGGGTGGCGACTGCATGATGAGGTGCAGGAGAATGTGGGACAAATGTGCCCGTGTTAAAAAGTCTCTGTAATACATGAACAGAATATAAACACACAATAGTAAATACACTGTTGTGGACCGGAAACGTGACTGTAATGGTGGAAACAGCAACGCCCTCTGTTGTCCTAACGAGGAATTGATTTGCAACACTCCCCAGGCCACGAAGTCTGAAAGGAAAGTGTCTCCATCAATGCGTGTGCACCACTCTGCAACTGAGCTGATGGAGACGTATAAACTTCATGATGAGTCCTTGAATTTTGAGGACGATAGGAACACATTTGCTGAGTAGCCTGAGGTGTTTGGACAGCCTCGTTGCTTTGCTGTGACATATTCAACCTAACCCCTACAACCTGGCAGTGGAAGGGTGCAGCTCCTGGGTTTGGACACATCATAAGACTAGCTGTTAGTTCAGCAGTCAGAATTAATCTCCATTTTTCCAAACTGAGGTTTTTCAGTTTATAATAGACCTCCCTCTACCAGCCAAACACACTCACTCTTGCGCAGTATCCTGAAATCATCTGAATCCAGTATTTGTTCATCCTCCCGATACCACATGACCTGCAGCGGAGGAGTCCCCCTCAGTCTGCACTCCAGGACCACCAGCTGACCCTTCACTGCTGACACATCATGGAGGCACTGGGACAGGATGAGGAAGATGAAGGTTAGGAACCATAACTGATGTCAGAACAGATTCATACAGAAACAGTTGAGATTTACAGAAGGAGACGTCTTTCTACCTTGACAAAGGTGGGGGTCACGCCGTTTCCTAAATACTGCTGATTGTAGAGAGGACTCTGAGTCTGAACACAGCAAACATCATTAAATTCATCTACTGTCTGGAATTGCCTGAGAGCCACGTGGAACTGTTTACACGGTCAATGAGGCATCGAGTGAGTGAGAGCACACTACTGATGATGGAAGTATTTACCCTCTGTGGGCTGATGCAGAGCGGCTGCACCAGGCTAGAGTGTTTCTGAGTCAGTGATGATGAGGAGGAGGAGGAGCACACAGAGCGTTCCCAAGAGGAGGATGCAGAAGAGGATGAGGAGATGGTCAGAGACATGGTGCTGGTCTTCTTCTGCATCCTCTGGACCCTGTGTGTTGGGACAGAATGACATAAAAATATCTACTAACTGGTTTTCTTTCATGAGTTTGGGTGTTTAACTTACTCAGCCATGTTTCAGGCGTTCTCACGGGCAGCTACAGAGGCCCTGCACACACACAGTCAGTCAGATTTAGAAGCATGATTTGATACGATATGACAGAACAAAGTGATATTAAGATAGATGCATTTTTCACAGGCAAAATTACTGTAATCACAGTTTGCAATGTAAAAAACCCAGAATGTTAATTGAATATGAGGAAAACACCAAATAAATTCATAAAATATGTTTTTTTCGTGGTCTTTGTTGTTTGCATTTATTTTCACTGCAGCACAGTTATGTCACCTCATGGAGTTTTTTATTATGAAGAACTGGAAAATGATGGAATCTGGCATCAGAGACTTGCAAAACACTCAGCAGGTAGAAAAAAGCCCGACAATCACGAATCAGCTCAGTGTGACGTTAGGACATTGGATTACACAAACAAAGTGATTTTATTTTATTTTTTTACTATAACACGGATTATTATGACCATAAACCAGCAAAGGTAAGACTGAATTTATGCTTTTGATTTCATGAGTTTAGCAGGTGGAGTAATGGTGCTTGTATTGTTGTAAAGAGGAGAGTCTGGGCTTTAATTTATACGGCTGCTTCTGTGGAAAGGATCATCGTGTTTTTCTCGATATGTACATTTAGCTTTTTATTTCAGCATTTTGATTTAGCGTCATTGGGTATTGGGGTAAAAAACGTGGATTTTATCATAAAAATGGTGATTTGGTGTCTCCAATCAATCAATCAATCAATCAATCATTATTTATAGAGCGATTTCCACTGCCTCTGCGGAAGCCCAAGGCGCTGAACATAACATAGATTAAAATAAAAACAGAGATACAAAGTCCTAAAAACCACAACAAACATAAAAGCAGGATAGAATATATACGCACACACACGTATATATATATATATATATATATATATATATATATATATATATATATAAAAAAGAAGGATGAGAAACATAAAACCAAGTCACATGTAAGCCAAACGACAAAAACGAGTCTTCAAGCGACTTTTGAAGACATGCAGAGAGGGTGACAGTTTGATGCTAAGTGGCAGCTCATTCCAGAAGGATAGAGCCAAGACCGAGAAAGCCCGATCTCCTCTAGATCTGTATCGGGAGTGAGGAACTCCAGCTCAGCCAAGCGTAGAGATTGTGAAGGGGTGTGACGTGTTAATAATGCTGGCAAGTATGGTGGAGCACCATCATATAGAGACCGGAAGACAAAGCAAAGCACCGTAAATTTTGCCCAAAAGACCACAGGAAGCCAGTGTAACGATGTCAGCGCAGGAGTAATATGTGCTGATTTCCTCGTCCCTGTCAGAAACCTGGCTGCCGAGCTCTGAACTAACTGGAGACGATTCATTACTGCCTACAACATTCGAGCCTAGAAAAAACATTTGTTTGGAGCACTGACTCCAGATGCACTCGGGACAACACGGGCTTGACTTTTGCCAGCCGTCGCAAGTTAAAGAAGCAGGTTCTTACAACCATATTAATGTGAGATTCCAGTCTGAGTTCTGCATCCAGTCTCACCCCCGGGCTACCCTAGTGGTGACGTGTGGTTAGCGCCTCTGAAAACAGACGGCATAAATGCACCCCTCCCAAAAAACATTTCACCGGCTGCCACTCACTGATTGACAACTGGCCTATTATTCAGCTGTTTCACTTCCTCTCCCAAAAATGGAGGAATTGAGGGAAGAGGTCCACTACCCATCACACCCAGCCAATCTCCGAAGCCAAAGAAAGAGATGCCTTCCAAAGAAGGTAACGTGGATGTTATTGAAACTTTATCAAAACAAATAAATGAAAAAAAAAGGATGAACTCGCACTACAGATTGCCGATATTAGAAAGTCTGTGAACTTTGCTTTTGAGGAGGTAAAAACTTTAAAAGGTAGAGTTGGCTCTTTGGAGTAGCAAATCTCCAAAGAGGAAGGTCGCATGGATACAAACCAGCAGAGAGTCACAGACCTGGAACGATTTTCCAGACGGTGGAACCTCAGGCTATTTGGTGTCATAAAAGAAGAACAGGAGGATGTATGGAAAGTTGTGTTGAGATGAGTCAGAACGTGCTGCCTGAAGATTAAAGTCATCTTTGTGATACCACTGACACCGTGCATCACAGCCCCAAGCACCCAAACAGCACCCGACCCAGAGCTATTATCATCCAGTCTATCTCCTGCTGGACCAGAAATAGCCTGTGGAAAGCTGCGAAGACATCCTTATAACTCATAACTGAAGGAGAACCAAGACCTGAAGTTTGCTGAGGACCTCTCAAAGGAAGATAGAGACCGCAGGAGCAAACTGTGGCCAATAGGCCTACTACGTTGGTGTCACGGTTTGCCTCCACCTACTGGTGAGGTGTGTCAGCTCTGTGTTTGCAGGTGGGCGTGGCATCCTTCACAACTGTTGCGAGTTTCCACTAATCGGAAGTTCAGAGGACTTAAGGAGTGGTGTGACTCAACCCCAGTGCCGGTTGATACTCTCACATGGGTAGCATCTAGCCTAGAATCTGTCTTTGGTTCCTGTGACCCTGGTCTAATGACTTTTGTGTATCCTGTCCTAGTATCCTGTTCTGCACCACCTACCTTGCCTGGAGTTGTCTCACATCCCGCCATTCAAGGATCCTCTGGCCTCCTTTCTCCACACCTGCCTGCCTGCCCACGCTCAGAACCACCTCACCCGTTCCAGCCTCTCACAGTTTGCCTCCGCTCAAATCCTGGCTTCGGACCGTGAGAACTTTCTGATACGGATTCATATTCTCCTGGTTCTCTGGTTCTGGCCTCGCTCACCCTGTTTTTGTCTTCATAGATTCCGGTTCCATCCTGTTCCTGTTTTCAGAAGCAGCGCCCTTAGTTCTAGTTTCTTTTCTCCTTTAAAATAAAACGCTTGTATTTTTACTTGCCTCTTCTCGTGTGATTCTTCATGTCCTGGGTGAAGTACATTACCCACAACATGACAGTTGGATGTTGAGGTTTTCTGAACGAGGCAAAATTTTTCCCGTCCTTGGAATGAAAAAGGGAAAAATGAGACGGAAATTTGAAGCTTCTACCATGTAGTCCTGCCACGTATGTTTGTTTATTTTCCCAGAGTTGTTTTATTTTGTGTTATTGAGAAGTAAATACCATTTTCATTACATAATAGTGCTCTGTCGTTATTTTCAGCTTTCTTCTATGTTCCAGCACCTGAGTGGTGTTTATATATTTTTGACCAAATTACTTTTGTTAATGCGATTGACATTTGTTCTCATTTTTTATTAGGCACGCAATACTAGTTTTGTAAGCTTCTAACTGTTAAGTTTTTGTTTTCTACATTGTCATCTTCCACTGCTCCCCTACTGCCAGGGGGTTAAAACAAACATGGAAATGCAAAGCCCTGTTTCTGTTTGCTAAAAATGTAAAAGTCATTTCCGCGTATTCCAAGAAAGCCGTCCTGTTTCTGCTGATGTGAACTTCTGGAAATCTCAGAGTAACAATATCTGGTTATTCACATGGCTCAGAGAGGTCAGCTGGGGTCACAACTCTCAAAGTTGCATACAGTGGTACTTTTTACTATCAGATTGCAATTGCTTAGGTCCTTATTATAAATGGTAAATGGTCTGTACTCGTATAGCACCGTCTTAGGCTTCTACAACCCCCCAAGGCACTTCACAATACAGTCAGTCATTCACCCATTCACACACACATTCCCATGTCGATAAATTTGATGATAAAAATGAAAAGATGTGTGTAGGTTGGCTACGTTCGTGTCCTTTATGAAGCTGTACCACCTGGATTCATGTAAAAATGTGACTCAAAGTAACACACGTGATAGCCCCATCTAGTGGACAACTTTTGTCTCTGCGCCTACCTGTAGTTTATCGTCCATTTATCGTTATCGAGGTGAAATCCTCAATATATCATGATATTGATTTTCGGCCATATCGCCTATATCACCCATATCCTGAGCTACTGGAAGCAGGGAGCAGAGAAAACAATCCTGACACACTGACCTCAAAACATTTGTCTTAAATGTTCAGAAGAAACCTGCTAAAACATCAAATTGTTCATTTATCTGTCCACAAACACGACTTTTTCAGGAAGCACATGGATAAGAAAATGTGTTAATATTATGAATATATTAAAAAGTAGCCTCATTGCTTGTAGTTCTAATCATTAACTTCCTCAATAAGCAGCAACGAGTGGCTGAGTGCTGCGCTGTCCCACGGCAGGGAGGCGCTGAGCAGGAGCTGAGTGAAGTCACATCTGCTGGGAAGAAAATGTGTTGCAGCTGGGACACAGGCCTCAGCTGCAGCGCTGTTACTTCTAGTTTTTGTAAGACAGGCAGAAACAGGGCCGTGCACAGACCTTTGAAGGGGCGGGTGCTCAAAGTTAAAAAGGGCACATATAGAGCAACATTTTTAACGATCCAAAAAGCTTGAAAATTCAGATAAAGAGAAAGTCCTGTTCTGATACGAGGTGGTAGGGATGCACGTAGCTAACTGGTTAATTGCTGTTAATGTTGTAACCGGGTAAAGTAGTTTTTCCCAGTTAACTGCTTCAAGTCCTTCTGCTGCGCTGGGTGTAATATATTTTGCGCCACCAGAGCGCCGCTGCCAAATATGTTTACCGGGCGACCGCAGAAGAAGAAATGAGCTCGTCACATGATCAAACAAATGTGCTCAAACACGAAGCGGTTAGCAGCAAGCCAGCGTTGGAGCTGTTTATTCCTAGTTATCTAATACTAGTCATATTTTCACCATGTTATTCATGCATTTATAAATGTTAGATATCCCATATTGGTAACTAAATATTTAATTAAGAGGTAAATTATTAGTTTATAAACTAAATATTTAGGTCAGGCCATTTGTCCCCTGCACTTTTTACCGTGCAAAAACAATATTCTGCTATATTAAAGAGACGCTGGTTGAGCACTAGGACCAAGCAGAAAAAAAATGCTCGTGTTGAAGCCTTTTGCCATTAGAACCACCCGTAAGCTCATCTATTGGCTCTGCTGATACTTGCTAACGTGTGACTGGCCGTTCCTGCCACCTTTGTACTTGACAGTTCTGCATTCCTGACATTACATAAAAGAGCTTCTATAGGCTGTAGTTTTGTACATATTTATTGCACCCCAGTCCTCATACCGGTTGTTATCATCTCAGAAGTGTAAATGTGTGTGTTGTGTGTGTACATAATAACGTAAATTCAGCTTTAATCATTTTCATTTTATAGCTTTGGTACGTTCTTACTGTGTCTAGTTTCTAATTCCATTTTTGGTTCTTTTTTAAAACACAGATAAGGTTTCTCTTTACCTTGCTGACAGTTTCGTTTGCCGACTGCAAAACATCCTCAGAGCTGACGCTGATGGTGGCGTCACTGCCTACTCCGTTTATCCGCGGGCAGCAGAGGACGTTGTCGCCCTCTGCTGCCTGCTCCCCCCTCTCCGATGATGCAGTCCCACGCGTGATCCAATGTGTAAACCCCATCGTCTCTGTTCATGGTCCCACATCCACGTCTCCTTATCTCTGTAGCTTCTTTCATCCATTTTCATTTTATACAAAATCAGCTGATTTTACAAGCATTAATGTCAGTATATCAGTATCAGCCATAACAGTAATCTTGATATCGGATATCGTTATCGGCCCAACAATTTCATATCAGTGCATCACTAATGAAATATTTAGAAATATGATCCCACCTGGAGGATTATCCGGTTCTCATCCTTCACATGAAACCTCGTTGCTGCCCAGTCCCCACCATCACCAGCCCCACCTGCACACGGACACACACGTGGATGCATTCATGCCATCTCAACCTGGATCGACTGTCCAGATGTCTGCGCACCAGCGTGTCCACCACGTCTGACTTTAGTCAGCACTGATGTTGTGTTTCACAGGTGTGCTCAGACACTATTGTTTTACAGCCCAAAGACCCCCACCCCCCACCCCTCCCCGATCTGCCCTTAGCCTTTGGGAAGGAGCTGACGGAGAAGGCCGAGAGTCAGGTTTCCAGGCTAAATTAAACCCTGACACGTCTTGAGCACAGCAGAAGCTCTCTGACCTGAGATAAATCTCACAAGCTCCATTAGAGCAACACACACATTCAGCAGCAGCAGCGAGAAGCTCTAGCTGACCCTTCATTCTGGGTTCCTACGTGTCCGTTTGACTTTATTGCAATGAGTTTGTTTGTGCAGGTTCTATAAACAGCAGCATCAACACATAAACACAACACATCCAGTTTTCCCTTCAGATAATCGCTGTAAACAGGTGCATCTGTGTGTTTAGTTCGACTGCAGGCCGCTGTTGATGCAACAGTCGCTGCTGCCGAACCTGTTGTGCCAGTGGTCTGCTGCAGAATCTCAGAATGTTTGGCAGCAAGACGAGTTTGCATCCGCAAATCTGTATGTGAAGAACGAACGGCTAATCTAATGAATACATTTGTAAATGTGGAATTTCTTACCCATGAAATCAGACAGTTCAACAGAGAAATTCACAATTCACATCAGAGCATGTGTAAAACTCCATCAAAATACTAAATGATGACCCCCTCCTTCTTGTTTTTGGTCAAATGAAACCAACAGCTTCAGGTAGGACCTCCAGTCCAACACCATGATCTGAATAAAAGTGGCAACACCATCAAAATGAGAGGCATCTCCAAGAGGACACACAGTTGGATGATAAATTGATGACGGATTGACAAAAAACACAATTATGTGGTTATGAAAAGACAACAAACTCCCACTAAAAAAGAGAGCTGCTGTCAAAACACAAGTGTATTTATAGAACGCTTTTCCAGTCCCACCAACCACTCAAAGTGCTTTTCAGCATCTTCAACATGTCATCAACCTCATAATCAGGAGGGGCCAGCTCTATCCACCAACATTTATGTTGCTGCAAAGCATTTGGGGTTACAGTGATCTTAAAAAGCTCAGTTTTAAGAAGCAGTTCCCCTTCTAGCCTAACTTGTTAAACAGTTAAAATAAGGACCATCAATGTATCTCCCTTGTCCATATCAGCAGTTTTACTGATAAAGTCAGGGAATAAAATTAATTAAAAAAAAACACCTTGTTAAGAGTACTTTACACCCAGGGTATTGTAACACGTCCTGGAGTTTATTTTCTATGTGCGGTGAATGAAGACCTGCGCTCCAGCTGATGTTTAACAAATATCTTATTTTGCTCTTCACCAGCAAACACAGTCAAAACTAATGAAAATGCAGATATAATGGTGTGGATGCCTTTCTACCAAACGTTCAAGAGCAACTGCAGTCACGATTGTCCATTTTAGTCCTTATCCCTGAGATAGTTTTATTCCAGTCTGAGTTTTCGGTTTTCAGTCTCAACAGCTTGTGTTCCTTTCTGTGTCCCCTAAAGCAGGGATCTCCATCACGTTGTTCACGAGCTACCAGTAGCTCCTGATGTACTTGAAAGTCGCTTGCCTGGAAGTATCTAGGGAGCCATCCCGCCTAATGGCCTAATTAATGAGGGAGGGCTTTCAAGTTTGATGGCAAGCCCCGTTATCTTTAAAATCTGACCTAAAATTAGCTTTTAGTGGAAGTAAAATAAAAATCTGATCATTGCACAAATCTTTCAGCAAAAGTGTTCAAGTATGTACTACTGGAAATATGCAGATTCTTTGCAAGGGCTTGGAACCTCATTGCTGTCCACTTGGAATGAAGCAGATGTAGCGGGTAGATGAAGATGCGCTTCAAAGAAAGACAGGGTGATGATAGTTATACAGATCTGGTTTGGGTTTAGGTAATCTGATGCTGAGAGGAAAAACATCCTCAGTAAAATATTCCAGGCAACAGCAAAGTCCTATCTGCGTTAATAGCTTGTTAACGCAAAGTGGGGTTCAGTAATTGTGTTGGAAGGAACTTTATCAACTTCACATGGGACAGCACTCTGCGGGCCTCCGATATGGAAGCGTATGTGTAACAAAAATCATATTATTATGCAGCAGCAGAAATGATATTTCATTTTCATATTACCACCGCCAAATTTGACTCATAAATAAATTTAATAAGCAATCTTCCAAACTGCTTTTTAATTTTCTTCTTCATCATTGCTTATTCTGTGACTTAAAGGGACTTTACGGAGTTTTGAATTTTTATGCTCACGATTGCTCCCTCTGGCCAAAGGCGTAACGGCAGCTTCAATAGGAGGCTCGTGCACAAGGCGCGCATGCTGTACGTGCACACTCCTTAACGAAAATAACAGCTTCACTCTGTGAAGCTGACCCCCGTCAGCTTCACAGAGCTCTGAGAGCTGACAATCCCTTGTGTGTATGTGTGTGTGTGTGTGCAGCAGATGGCAGGAGAACGCGCAGCTAATTAATTAAATAATTTGGTTCTGTACCTTGAGCACTTTTGTTGTTTGTGTTTTATAAATATAATATATTACTGTACTGTAGAAGTGTCCACCAGCACGTCTTAGCCAGCTAACATTAGCTTCATGTTTGCTGCCTGTGGTCTCCTGACTGTGAAGGCTAACGGACTTTATTAATAATTTATTCCAAAACACTGACTTATATTACAGCTGATACAAGAGTGCTGCTGCTGAAATAACATAAATATTACTGGTATTAGACATTTCTCATGCCACAGACCCTTCCCTCTGACTGGAGAGCTAACTAGCTGCCATGCTAACAGGCTGAAGAGGGCCGTTTTTGGGTTCTGCCTTTTCAGGAGTTCATTCAGGTTCATTAATGGTTAAAGAAATGAAATTTTATTTAAGGCCATCAACATTCATACATGTAAATATGCCTTTGTCAATCACAGGGCAGTGTGTAATACTTATCGCTGCATAACGTGTCTTTATCTCATGTCTCAAAACTTTATTTGTTTTCGTTTATTCCAGTAAATTTAATAAGGATCACATCTGGGTGGACCCCTCATCTCTACTGACAGCCACAGGTGTGTACTATGAACATTATGTTATTTTCAAATGTTATTCTTCTTCATTTTAGCAAGAAAAGCACACTTCTACATCCACCTACAGAGGAGCTGAAGAGTGTCATGGTCTGCGTCTGCCCCCTCCTTCATGTGCCTCCTGGTGTCCTCCATCCCTCTCTAGATTCCCTTTTGTGTCTCATAGCGCCCTCATGTGTCCTTTGTCTGCGTCTCATTTATGTGTTTTCTGTTTGTAGGCATTCGATCATCCCCATCCCCTCCAGTTGTAGCTCCAGCCTCTTTGTCCCCAGCTCTGTGTCTGTTTGGGTGTGTGCGTGTCCATTCCCCAACTCAGTGTGAGTGTGTGTGCGTGCGTGCGTGTCCATTCCCCAACTCAGTGTGTGTGTGTGTGTGTGTGTGTGTGTGTGTGTGTGTGTGTGTGTGTGTGTGTGTGTGTGCGTGTCCATTCCCCAATTCAGTGTGTGTGTGTGTGTGTGTGTGTGTGTGTGTTTGTGTGTGAGTGTGTGTGCGTGCGTGTCCATTCCCCAATTCAGTGTGTGTGAGTGTATTTGGGTGTGATTGTGTGTGTGTGAGTCATTCCCTCAGTCTTTTAGTTCAGTTTTGTGTTTATCTGCCCTTCTTTGGTTATGCTTCCCCAGTTAGATAATTGTTGTCACCTGTCTTCCCTCCAGCCCTCACTCCACACACCTGCTTCCTGTTTCCCTAATTGTTCCTCCCAGTCTATTTAAGCCCTGTCTTGTCTCTGTGTTGTTGTTGGTCCATTGTATTTCTTGGTCAGCGTTGTTTTGTCTCTAGTCTTTAGTCTCAGTCTTTAGTTCTCTGCTCAAAAGGTGAGCTTTTGGATTTTTGTCTTAGTTTAGCTATTTGGTTTTTGCCTTCGCTCCCTTGGATTTTTGGTTCTCCTCCTAAATAAAGGATTTTTACTTTATACCAACTCCTGCCTCGTGTCGTCTGGGGTTTACTGCATCTTGGGTCCTAACAACCTCCTCCTTGCTCTCAACGTGACAGAGAGCCTGTCTGTGACCTCCTGATGCCCCAGAGACTCCAGCCTCAGCCTGATGATGTGAGCATTTAAACCTCATATAATACCGGTCCTGGACATTTTTACATCTCACTTGTATGCTGCCATTCATATCACACACACACACACACACACACACACACACACACACACACACACACACACACACACACACACACACACACACACACACACACACACACACACACACACTCCTCTTCATGTTTTTTACATGAAGAGGAGTTATTAACTTTTGCTTTTAAACTTTCCGATCTTTAGATGAACTTCATGCCAAAGCAGGGCCATGAGAACACAAAGAAGTGCTGCTCCGGTGTCCTGACCCTGGACACCTGCAGTCCTACAGAGAAAATCAGAGACCACAGGTGACAAAAAAGGCAAACACATTTTTACATTTATCCACATGAGAATATAACTTTTGTTCTTCACACAAACTTTTTACTTCATTATAACGTGTCAGCTGTGTAAACCCCTGAATGTAAAACTACTTTTCACAGAAGAACTTCTGTGGTTGTGTTTAAACAGCTTCTCTCTTCACCTCTAAACTTAATAAAAACGCTTCTTTGCTCCGTTGTCCTTAAAACAAATGACAAGTTAAATTCGACAGACACACACACACACACACACACACACACACACACGAACACACAACTGGGACCTGCAAAACAAACTCGTTCTGGCTGATTTCTGCCTAAAATGTAATTTCAAAAACAAATATACAAGCGAAAAATGTCTATAAACTTAACCGCTTTAAGCTTTTTAGGTTTCTACGGCTAGTTTTTAACAAATTTATGTTTAAAACTTCGTAGCTCTCCCCAATTTCTCTTCCTGTTGAAAACCATAGCCGGTGCGCAAAGCATGCTGGGATAGCCTTGTTCTGTGAGGATACAACAGACCAGTCTTGAAATTCGGACAGTACTCGTCGCTGCGCTGTGACATCATCAACCTCAAAATGCACTCCTACAAGCATCCTTCCCGTGGATTCGGACACACCCTTAATGCAGGGCGGGCATGAAAAAGACAAATCAGTTCCTCTTTCTTTATCCTTTTCATTAAGTCACAGAATAAGCAATGATGAAGAAGAAAATTATAAAGCAGTTTGGAAGATTGCTTTTTAATTTTATTTATGAGTCAAATCTGGTAGTGTTGATATGAAAATGAAATATTATTTCTGCTACTGCATAATAAAATGAATTTTTTCCACATACGCTTCCATAGTTCTACGCAGATTAGATCAGTGGTGATCGGCGAGCAGTGCATGCCGGTTAGATTTGTGTCCGACTTGACGCCGACTTGCTCTGACGTCATGCATACGTAGGCAACGATAACCTCGTGAGATCAAGGCGGCCGCAGATTTTGGAGCAAGGCACTACAGTTGCTCTCCATCGGCTGCAAAACCTAGAGGATGACGGGAAACGCCTGGCTCTCACCTGATCTAAGATCTGATTGGTTCACATTTTGATCCAAACATCCGGTGGTTGAATGCAAAATGTTAACTGGTCACATGTATTCTGTAAATCATGCTACGTTGATGATGACAGCAATATAAGCCACAAAGAGGACTGTGATGTGTTCTTTTGTCATGTTTCCAACAAGCACACTAAACCTACAGCTGATAACCTTTACTTATTATTACGGTCATGTCTTCTTATACAATATATGATATCCACAAGCACGTGAGGACGTGTTTCCGTTGCTAACAGGCACCAGAATTAAAACAGCATAGCATAGCATAGTTTATTTATATAGCATGTTTAAAATGCAGCATGGGAGCTGCCCAAAGTGCTGCACAGACTAAAACAAAACACAACCATTACAAGGAGCTAAAACAAAGGATAAAAATCTCAAAGGCAGATAAACCATGATGAATACTAAGAACACATTAAAACAATGATACAATAAAACACTAAAACGAGTCACTGTCTAAAAGCCAAAGTGTAAAAGTGGGTCTTTAAACGAGATTTAAAAACCGCCAGAGATGGAGCCTGCCGAACTCCAATGGGCAATGAGTTCCATAGCTTTGGGGCAGCATGCACAAATGCTCGATCCCCCCGTGATTTGAGTCTCATCCGCAGCGTGTACATCAGCAAAAGGTCAGCCGACTTCAATGTGCGGGTGGGCACATATGGAGTGAGAAGGGCAGAGAGGTAGGGAGGTGCCAGGTCATTGAGTGCTTTAAAAACAAAAGTCAGTAACTTAAACTGCACTCTGAAAATGACAGGGAGCCAGTGAAGATGTACCAGGACAGGGGTAATGTGGCTACGTCGGTGTGTACCCGTCAGGAACCTGGCAGCAGCGTTCTGGACGACCTGCAGCCGATTCAGGGCAGAGTCCGGAACACCAACTAGGAGGGCATTTGCATAGTCCAGGCGAGAGGTAATGAAGGCATGAATGACTGACTCCAAATGCCTCAGTTTCAGGATTTGTCTGAGGTGAGTAAGGCGGTGAAGCTGATAAAAACAAAACCTCACCTCACTACGGAGTTTATCTGTGGGGCCATTGTGAGTCCAGCATCCAGCTTGACCCCGAGACTCGTCACACACTGTTTGGGGTTAAGGGTTAAAAGGTCAGAAACAGGGTGAGAGCCATGGTGGTTGCGGGGGTCAAAAACAATAAACTCAGACTTCTTTTCGTTTAACTTTAAGAAGTTGGATGCCAGCCAGCCCTTCACGTCATCCATACATGCAGCCAATTTCGAGCCCGCATTCTTCTCGTCCATTTCCACGTATAGCTGACAGTTATCTGCGTAGATGTGATAGCTCAGGCCATGCTGATTCAGGATATTGCCCAGAGGCAGAAGGTAGATTGAAAACAGCAATGGCCCAAGTGGCACCCCCCAAGGCAGTGGAAGACTGGAGGATGCACAGTCACCGATCTGTACAGAGATGGTACGGTTTGATAGGTAGGAGCGGAACCATTTATGCGCCACCCCCGTCACCCCAACCCAAGACCCAAGCCGATCCAGTAAAATATGGTGATCGACCGTATCAAAAGCCGCTGAAAGGTCCAGCTGGAGCAGCAGTACCCTAGACCCAGAGTCAGATGCCACCAGAATGTCATTTAGCACCCTAATCAACGCAGACTCGGTGCTATGGTGTGGTCTAAAGGTTGACTGAAACACATCCAACAATGAGTTGCTGTTCACATGAGCAGAGATCTGACCATGCACAATTTTCTCAAGGACCTTCGAGAGAAACGGGACTTTCGATATAGGGCGGAAGTTCTCATAAGTGGAGGGATCCAAACCAGGTTTTTTCAATATCGGCTGAACAACTGCATCTTTAAAAAGCTTAGGGAACACTTCAGTGCTGAGGCTAATGTTAAAAATGTTCATAAGTGCCAGGCTCAGTGCAGACACTGAGTCACGCACCAATTTAGCTGGGAGGTAGTCCACTGAAGAGCCAGCTGGCTTCATGGAGCTAATCAGTTTCATCAAGTCAGCAAGCTGAACTGGAGCAAAGTCCGAGAAGGCAGGTGGGTCCGGCGATTCTACGTGGATAGTGTATATTTGAGGCTGGAGGCTAAGCCTAATACCAAGGATCTTGTTGAGGAAAAAGCTCTGTAGCTCTGTGCATAAAGCAACAGTGGGATTTAGACCATCAAACTCTAACAGTAGCAGGGAGTTAACTGTGCTGTACAGCCTGGACTGGTCTCCACGATACTGTGAAATGATAGCAGGAAAGTAGTTGTTACGAGCAGATCTAACTGCTTTCTGGTAGCGTGAAAGTGCATCAACCAAGAGCAGCCGAGAGCATGACAGTCTGTCTCTCTTCCACCTCCATTCCAGTACCCTACACTGTCGCCTGAGGCTATGGGTGTAATCATTCAGCCAAGGGTCGGATGTTGTCTGTTTCCGCCTCGGTCTCAGAGGGGCAACAGTGTCCAGAGCAGCAGAGCAGGTCACACTGAACCGATGCAGAAAACAGACAAGGGCGGAGCGAGGGCATCAGTGTCCAAAACCGACAGAAAGTTGGAAGTCGTACTCGGAGATAAGCGCCTGGAGTAATGAGCAGACCGTCGCCGGGCTGGAGGAAGGAGACGTGAGATGCTGAACGTGATCACAGCATGGTCAGAAAATGCCACAGGATCCACAGATAAATCACGCACATCCAGTCCAAAAGATAAAACCAAATCCAGGGTGTGAGAGTCAGCATGTGTGGGAACACTTACCAATTGCTGTAGTCCAAATGAGTCTAAAACATTGATAAAATCTCTCACCAGTGGTATCAGAGGGCAGCAGACGTGGATATTAAAATCACCCAAAAATAATCCCCTGTTCATATTTTGGGAGCACATCAGCTAAAAGGTTGGAGAATTCACTTATAAAATCCTTGTTGTATCTTGGTGGCCTGTAGCACAGTAAAACAAGGATGGGAGGAGAGAAGCCCAGCTCTAATACTGAGACTTCAAAACTGGTCAGAGCCATCAGCCATAAACAAGTATGAACGCTAACGCGACATCTTCATCCACTGTCACCCGCGAGCTACATGTAGGGAAATCTGTCCGACTTAAATGCCGACTTTCAGCCAGTCCCCCGTTGCGTCCGTCTGCTCTCGTCTGTTTTCCAGGCAAGGCGCTGCTCAACTCGAACAAGGCCATTAACTCCTCATGTTATTAGGGAAATAGCGGGCGAGTGGTGTTGATGCATGGTTGCGCATGTGCCGTGAGCGGTTCTGGTACTTTTTGGGTCGCAGCCGCTGCTTCAACCCTCACGAGGAACAAGCAAAATATCAAACACTCAAAGTCCGTGCGAGCTCACGATTGCTGATCGTAGCTGGTCACGTGGTGTTAATCGCCTCTCGTAACCCCCGTATACTACACGACTCTCAGCGCAAAACTCGCCCTGATCTTGTGGATTATTGCACGAGTGGAAAATCGGCTCAAAAAAGTGAAAAAGTCGCACAGTGAACACCCGGCTTAAGCATGAAAATAAAGTGGAAAACATCTGGATGTTGGCAATGAAAATCATTCCACAAAAACTGGCAGTACACATTGAGGATCGGCTGACCATGACTCCGATGTGTCAGCAATAGAAAAACCAATATCGGCCAACCTCTGATTTCTCTTTGGTTTTGCTTTTATGAATTAAAACACATTTAATTATGTCCTTACAGCTCTAGTTTAACATCCCATAACTGATGTATGATGGGTTCCTTCACATATCCTAGGATGTAAGATGTTATGAGGCGTGCGTTTTAAATTTCCCCTAGCTATTCTGGTTTGTAGGACGTCAAAAAGCTAAAAGAAACCACATCTTTAGTAAAAACAGTGAATAATATATAAAATAAAATGTTGAAAAAATATTTTAAATTAGTTTCACAAATGTAATTAAAAACATTTTGCTCTGAGTAAACATAATAGTAGGTCTATGGTGAACAGAACAAAATGTCACAGGGCAGCGTTTGCTCAAATGCATTATTCTGAAGCCAGTCCAGACTCTCCTGACTCTTCAGCTGGTGTGTGAGGGGCGCCCAATTTAGAGTCGACCGGGTCAGCTGACTTCTCTCGCTGCCAGCCAGAGCTCAGTGGCTGGCAACAGCGTCACACAGGCATGCTGTTCTTGTGCTGAGATTCCCTCAGCAACACACACACGCACACACTGTCAATGGGATCTGGCTGGTATGTCCTGGGTTGCCTCACCCGGTAGGTTGTACACAGCCCTGTTCACACTCTTCCAATACAGATATCCTTCCCTCAGTTCATAAAACAGTCTTCATCCAAAATATTCTGACAAAGAAATTGGACAAATTGCACCAAAATGGTGGAAACACCTCCACCAAATGGGGATTTATAAAGAAGCTCTGTTTTCTCATCCACAGAGAGGTGCAAAAGCAGAATAAATAAACACCTCATTCACATGAATAAATACAAGCAGGGCAGTCAAACGTTAAGAGTGAATGTGTGCAACGTAAAATATGAGTATCTTCTCAAAATAAATGCTTTAGTAAGATTTTGATTATTTGATCAAAAATAGAGCAAAACAAAGTATGTATTTTGCTCATATTAAAGGGACAATGAGCAATAATTTTAGTGAAATAATCACAAAACAGCCTAATGCCTCGTTTATGTTGGAAGGAAGGTTATACTGAAACAGATTTAATTCTCAGTCGGCTGGGAGGTTGTCAGGTTTCTTACTTTTAAAAAAGCTGAAGATCGACGTGGTCTCTGTTTACAATCTGTGAGGCTGCCATGTCTGCGCCAGCTAACACTGCGGCACCGGCATCCATTCTGGACAGTATGTTAGCCAGTACCAGGAGCAACCCAGAAGTTATTTCATGTATCGCAAAGAATCCGCGGCATCCTTTTATTTTACTCTAATATCGGGTAAAGAAGACTAGCGCTAACAATGCTAATGGTGCATTTGAAGCAAATAGTTAGCTCTACAAATATTTTAAACTACTTTTACCAAACTCAATATTACAGTGAAATGTATTTATCTACTTATCAACTTACTGTTTATTTGCTTAACTTCATAAAGTTGAAGAAGTTACATGAGACTGAGGAAAACAGCAAGGTGCCTCCGGTATGTTCCAAAAGAAGCTGCCAGTCTCACATTTTAGATTATTCTTCGGAACAAGGAGTTGTTACGGGGAAATTTCCTTCCTATTAGTGTAGAAAATAAAACAAGATACACAGCAGAAACAATTAGCTTAATAAACAAAACACTTTTAGCTATATATGAGGAAGCATTTCATCGTAACTTTTATTTAAAAAAAACAAAAGAAGGTGAATCATAAATTTGTCCTATGTTAAACTAATATAAGCCAACATCGACGATCATGCAGGACATCTAGATGGATAGATAGATAGATAGATAGATAGATAGATAGATAGATAGATAGATAGATAGATAGATAGATAGATAGATAGAAGAATATGTAGATGGGTAGATAGTGTTATGAGTTGTTGCCTTTTATTCAAGTTTTGGTTTCTGTTACTGGTTTTCTAATCGTCTGTTTCTGTGTTTTGTGCAGGTCAGCTGCAGCTCCTTCCAGGTGCCCTGCCCCCCTGTGGGCTTCTCCGGAGTGACTGCAATTGCTCAATTACCACCCTCACTTAAGCCTCTGTTTCCAGGCCTCAAAGTTGCGTTGTTTTTTCTGTATTGCTTAATAGAGCGAGAGTGCCTTCGTGTTTGTGACTTCTGATTAGTTTTTTCCCACTGTGTGTGGTGATTTTTGGTTATTAAAGACCCTGAACCAGAACCAAGGCTTGTTTTTCCCGCAATTGGGTTACTGCCTGAACCCCACGGTGATAGATAGATTGATAGATCAATAGATAGATAGGATACATAGATCAATATATAAATAGATCGATAGATCAATATAGATGAGTAGATAAATATATAGATAGATGCAGTGCATGAGCACATGACGCAGCACACAAATTTAGCTCTGAACCGACCCCCCCATTCCTCCAGCTGTTCCCTACTTTCTAACTACAACAGAAACCAAACAACCTTTGACCAATTAAAAGACACCATTGATTACCTTCACTTGTCCTCTCTTTTATCCACCAATCACTGACAAGAGCCGCAAAGCCTCACTTTTCTGAATTTCTGCAGCATTTTAACTTCTAACAGTGATGGTGTCAGCCAGGCCCACCTCAGCTCCAGTCAGAATGTTCTCCTTACCTGTCTGCTCTTTTCCCAGCAGGACTTCAAACTGAGATTGTACTGATCCAACAGGAGACTGATTAAATTTTAAATTATGAAAGCACAACCGCTCCGTGACGGTGTGGCTGTCTGTCATGGCTTGGTCATTGGACACTTGCTGCTCTGGGAGAGCTGACACACACTTTAGCTCACATGTTCATGAGCAGGAGTGTGCGTATCGGAGAGGAATGGGGGCTAAGGAGGAATCTGAGGAGGAGGAGGAGGGCTGGTGGAGGCGTAAGAAAATAACAAATGTATAGCGAGGACTTAGTTGTTGGTCAACATACGTTCTTCACTTCTTTAGCTGCGGCTAAAGCTGAAATCAACATTTCTTCTCAATAATAAAAAACATTTTTTTTAGCATAAAATTTCACAAAAATGCCAAACGAGTGTCTTGGGAGTTAAGGTTTGACGATCCAGCTCGATCCAGGAGGTGGGAGACGGGAAACCAGCAACTGGTGCCAGTGAGGCGTCAGAGGAAACCTGAGAGTGCGGGGAAGATGGGCACGCTGACAGAACCAGAGCTTACATACGGGTCCAGCTCATACCCAAACCCATGCTCTGCCCTTAAAATAACTCCAGTAAAGCACTCAGTGAAGTAACAGGCAAGTAATTACGACACCAGTCAGTGAATCGGGTAAATCTGCAGGTCGTCATGGATCCAGAACAACACTCTCATACCGAGAATGCTGTACAAACTCTCAGCATGGGTGCATCTCCTGATCGCTCTGAATGATGAAATTAAACATGGAGTGATGATGGTTCAGGGGTTAGAAGTTTGCCCTGTAATCATTAGGTCGATGGTTCAAAGCCAGTTGTGTCCTTGGGCAAGACACTTCACCATCTTTCCTTGGTACTTAGTTGTGGTCAAACGAGATTTTGTGGCAGCCTCGCATCAGTTAGCGTGTCCCAGGGCAGCTGTGGCCACAACGTAGGTCGTCACCACCCGTGTGTGAATAAATGAATGATTCACTGTGATGTGAAACACTTTGGAGTTCTCTGACTCGTTACACAAGTGCAGGTCACCATGCTGGATTGTCTCTTTCCAGTTTCTGAGGATAAACAAACGTGCTGCCTGTTGAATGTGACAAGTAGCCAATCAGAGAGAGGTGACAGAAGCAGGATGCATCCTCCCATCATGTTTGTTTTCTCTGGAGGTTTGGGACACTTCCTGTCTGAAGGTAAAATGATCGTGTGAAATCCGTTCTCTTAAGCTTGGTTTATGCTTGACACATTCACTTTCCACGTGGTGATGAGGCTCGCGGATGGAACGCGCTTCACAACTCGCAGAGTTTATGGTTCGTGCGGCTCGTCTCTGCGGTGAGCCAATATTCTCCCAAACTGAACGGGGCAGCATGGAGCTCTACGGCATGCATCCAACACTACACTGTAGTAGAAGTAGAAATTACTGTTTACAACATGGCATTTCAGCATTTTTAACAGCGTTCTGGTCTTTTCCGACAGTGCGAGCTATTTCTCTCCAAGAATTATTAACAACATGTTGATCACGGTGATCTCTGAGAGCTGAATCATACAAATGTCTGTATTTACGAACCTCTGCCATACTAGTTCTTGCCGGTCCGCCATGTTTTTCTGCGTCCGTCCGTCCGCGTGGTTAGAAATTTTCCTAGGTGCGCGTTGCGGAAATTCTGGGCCGTGCGGAGGCGCGTGCTTGTTATAATGACGCAAAATGACGCAACTTTTCCGCACGGAGCTGTGCGGACCTCGAGGACGCGTCAAGCATAAACCAACCTTTAGTGTTTGATGCGTTGCGGGATGTTGCATTTTAGTTGTTTCCCTGTTTTAACACACCTGGCTTTAGTCAGCAAGTGATGAACAGACTACTGCAGAGCTTGATGAGCTGCTGGTTCAACCCGAATCAGGTGTGTTGGAGCAGTGAAACAACTAAAACATGCTCCAGACCAGGACCAGGACTGGACACCTCTGCTGTATGACCAAGACTGGTATATCCGTGATTTCTCGGGTTTTAAAAATGGTCCAACAATTTTAAAATCCTGCTGGACCTAAGATATACATAACAGCATTTCCATAAGCCACGCCCCTTTATTACCACTCATTCATTTTCATAGGAAGGTTCAATGGAAGCTTACCAGCAGTCAGAGGCTGAGGCTACAGCTGGGTCCATCACAGAATCAACAGTCATACTAATGCAGATCCAGGACTCCGAGGTGGAAAAGGGTTTCGTCAGTAACTGGTTAAAGAAACCACTCAGCAGCACAACTCTTTGGTCAACATGTTTATTGTGGTCGTTTGTGTTTTTCACATAGAAACATCATAAAGCAGGAGGAATGTGGTAAAAATAAAGAAAATCCTTCTTTAAAAATATGTTTAACATTTTAAAATAAAAATACTTTGTTCAAAAAAAGAGAGAAGAAAATCCAGTGCAAACACAATTTGAAAAAGGAACTTTCATTCATTTGTAATGACAACAGAATAAAATCTTACAAGTACATTTAAATGTTTGGTCTTGTCTTTTTAAAATCTTTTAAAGATTAATCAGGAAGAAAACAAAGATGTTGCACAAAAAATGTAAGTTCAGCATGAGCTTGTAAAAGTTGAACAAATGTGTGATTTGAGACAAATCTCCTGCTGCAGCCATAGAAACCAGCACTGAAGCTGTAACTGCTGGACGTCAGCAGGATGATTTACAATAAACACATAGATTTTAAAGGAGCAATAAGTAAGAATTCTACAGGGAAATGTTCACAACACAGTCGGAAGGATGGTTTTACTGGGACAGATTTCATTCTCAGCTTGGGGGATGTCAGTTTTTCTCCTTTCAAAAAAACAAAACAAAAAAAAAGCAAAAACAAAAGAGGGACGTAATTACTGTTTACAGCGACTTTGTGAGTTTGCCAAGGCTCTGGTGAGCTAATGCTGCAGTGTCAACATTTGCTGGCAAAAAGCTCCAGAACTGAAGCCAGGAAACAGGAGCGACTCAGCACTTATTTTTTGTACCCTTAAGAAGCCACAACATTTTTCTGTTTTACTCTAATAATGGGCAAAGTAGGCTAGAGGCTAATGATGAGCTAACAATATTAACCTAGAAGCAAAAGTCGGTGTAAAAATATCTCAAGCTACGTTTTCAATCACCAACATTTGACTATTACAGCGAAATGTGTGTGTGAAGTGAATGAGTCAAGCGTGACGTTTTACTTCCTTAAATGAGTCGCGCAGAACTACACCAGCAAGCTAACAGCAAAATGAGAAACAACCACACTTCCTGTAATACTGGAGACATATTACCGTAGTAAATATCAGAGACACATTACCGTAGTAAGTGTAGTAAGAGCTCCCTACCGTAAAACACCCGAGTGCTAACACCGGATATAACAATGTATTTATCTACTTAACTTAGGGAGTTTGAGTCGTCTTTCTTTGTCATCTAAAATCTTCTGGTTCTGATCCATAACTGGCAACAGTCATGAATCTCACAAAACTGGAGTGAGAAAGATATTGCAGTAACCAGATTTGACCCCAAGATGCCATTTTTACTTAATTCTAACATATTGCACCTTTAAACTTAAAAAAAAAAAAATAAAATCACTTTACTATATTCTGTTTCTGTCACTTCCTCTTAACCATCACTATTTATTAATCTAGGTTAGTAGAAATAAACTAACAAACCTTATCAATAAATAACTATACCTCTCCCTTCAGCAGCGTCGTCTCTTTCTTTGACATCTGTCCTTTTTAACCCATTTCAGTATTCTTTTATTTGTATTTTGCTGCAATATGTTCCTTGAATCCCTTCCTTCTTACTAACTGCTTCCAAATCCATAAAGGACACGTCTATCACACACACACACACACACACGCACGCACGCACGCACACACACACACACACACACACACACACACACACACACACACACACACACTCACACACACACACACACACACACTCACACACACACACACACACACACACACACACACACACACACACACACACACACACACACACACACACACACACACACACACACACACAGATGCTTTAAACACTATAAACTACAAGTGAATATAGGATTAGAAAACAGATTACTATTACATCTTGTTAGAAAGGTCTTGGTCAGTTCGGTTATCAGATGATAACGAAGTTGTGAAGAAAACAAATAACTTTAGTCTGCATGAGGAAATCATGCAGAGACGATGGAAAGTGGCAGTGAGATGAAACGTTCTGGAAGCAGAAAAAAGGGGGTGTGAGCCACCAGAGGTCTGAAACAGAAACCGTTGTTGCCTTCAGGTGTGGGAGGAAATGCACTGATCTCCCTCATTAGTGACACAGCTAACTGTGAAATGCTTAGCAACAAGAAGACAGGGCAGGAAAAGATGCATTTGTTTCTGTTAATCCAAAATAAACTCTTGTAATATCAAAAAAGTGGCTTTAAATCGCAAAGAGGTGAAATCTACATCTGCTCGCACATTAATCCACGCTATAGTTTGAGAAGTATGGCAAGCCAAATGAGCATTTTTTCTGATATCAGGATATCAGCCAGAATTGTCATGAACATGTAAGCCATTTCTGTCCACTAGTTAACTAGTTAGGCATGTTTGTGTCAACTAGTTAAATATCGAGGGTGAAAATGTGCCCACTAGTTAACTAGTGACAGCAGAAATGCGCACTAGTTAACTAGTGAACACATTTAGGCTTCAGTAGTTAACTAGTTGACACAAAAACTGCTCACTAGTTAACTAGTAAAAGCAGAAATGCATACCAGTCAGCTAGTTGAAGGTATTTGTCTCACTAGTTAACTAGTGAGGGTCAATTTGTGCACACTAGTTAACTTGTGGTAGACATAAATGCGCACTAGTTAACTAGTGAACATATTTTGGCTTCACTAGTTAACTAGTTGACACATAAATGGCTCACTAGTTAACTAGTAAAGACCAAAATGCACACCAGTCAGCTAGTTGAAGGTTTTTGTGTCTCACTAGTTAACTAGTGATGGCCAAAATGTGCACACTAGTTAACTTGTGGTAGACATAAATGTGCACTAGTTAACTAGTGAACACATTTTGGCTTCACTAGTTAACTAGTTGACACATAAATGGCTCACTAGTTAACTAGTAAAGGCCAAAGTGCATACCAGTCAGCTAGTTGAAGGTTTTTTGTGTCTCACTAGTTAACTATTGATGG